TGCTGCTCCAAGAAACTATATTTAAAAACATAGTTGTACAGTTCCAAAAATCTCTACTTTGCTCTTTTGATTTGATTTGATTAAAATCAAACATTTAAATTTGATTTCTCTTGACCTCACCTCCCTAAATCAGAGTGATATTTCAAGTTACATGTTATAGATGGCAAAATGATTTCCCTATCTATAGTTGTTTAAATAACATAATATAAAATGACTTCTAGCCACTTCTTTTTTCTCTCTCTCGTGGTCACCAAAAGCTAATTTAGGACCCATTAAAAGAAAAGGAATATTACTTTTAAACATGGTTTTTTCTTTGCCGATTATATTTAAGAGTGGTAAGGCCATCTTGTTCTGTCTCAGAAAAACAGGAGCCTCACCTATAAGGTTGAAAATAGTCCTCTAGACAGACTTGAAGCCTGCAGTTTTAGGGGTTTCCTGTCTACAACCCAATGTAGAGAAGCAGAATGAACAGTCTTTCCACTGACCTACACAAACTCATGGAAAAGGGGCTTCAGAGAAAAACCCCTATCAGATTAACCAAATGCAGATCTATGGACTTAATTTTGAAGCCTATAATCATCCAGTTATGAAACATTGAATTTAACTGTTACTCAGCTTCAAGAATTATTTAGAGAACAAGTAAAGGTTAAGGAACTCTAGAAATGCCATTCAATTTGCCAACTTCACAAACCTGGCTTAAAGTCAGGATTTAAGAGAAAGGTAATGGTGAGGAAGCATGAGACAGGAGAGCTGAAATCTCAGTGAACTTCCTCTTGGGTACTCCGAAAGAGTCTGTCATCAGTGACCCAAGAATTCAAGCTATGTTAAAAGTCTCATGTGGGATTTGGAATGAAGCTCCAGAGAAGGAGGGAAAGTCACCTATATCTTCTCATTTACTGTGGCCTGGGTACAGGGATGGTAGTAGGAAGAGTCTTCCAGTACTGCGATGCCCTTCACTAGCTTCTCAGAGAGGCCCAAATAAACTGTCCACTGGGGTAGGACAGGAGTGGTAAAGTCCAGGTGCTGAAAGACCTCAGTCAAGAGAATATCACTGTTAATGCTAACAGGCATTGCCCAACTTTAGGTACCAGTCCTCAATAATGGATAGGATGCTCACTCTGATGTTATATTTTCAGCAGCACTGTGAGAAGGGGGCTTACTTCACTTGTCAGTTGAGGAAGTCTTTGAGCAGTTTAACACCTTGCCTGTGGTTGCAGAGTAACAGAGTGACTTTGGAAAGTTCCCCTGGCCTATTTCTCAAGCCTGAACTAACAGCCTCCATGCGACATCACGGGGCTCTGTCATTTGCCTTTCCTTATGCCCTAGCATGGTTCAGAACTCATTCAGAACTCTGCCAGTCCATACCACAAACCAACCTGCTGGTTCAAGTCTTCGTTTTCATATTTTTTTTTCCTCTTCCACCTCCATTTCCTCCCAAATACCTTATTAGAAATTCAGATTTTTGTAAGCCAGGGAAAATTAGATAAGAGATTGAGTTGGAGGAAAGGAAATGACAGGGAAGATCTGAAAAAGAATTCTTCTTGGTGTTGAGAGGAAAGAGAGAAAAACACAAGCTCATCATGACAGCAAAGCTTTGGCTAACATGCAAAAGCACTGTGAAAAAGAGGCAGATGTTTTTGAATCCCTTAGTCATAAATCATATTGGGACATCATTCTTTTTATTTGTTTGGGCTAAATGCAAATAAGTATGTGATGAGTTTCATTGTAACACAGTTGGCTTCAATGCTATCAGAGGATCAAAAATATTTTCATTTGCTTAATTATTAGCTTATGATTTGCTATTGAGTTTCTTTTTCAATAGGTTTATGAATTGCATTCAGAAAGCACCCCAATTCCTGTAACATTGCCCTCTTGGACCCACTAGAGATTTTTGTGTTTTAGGTTCTCCAGTCTCTCCTTGGATACCAATGCTTTTCACAACATCCTACCTTCATTTTCTCCTTTCTGTGCAGACACACATGCAGCAGTGCACATTCATCTGCCTGGAAGAATGTGGAGATTCCAAGGTTATTCTAACAGTGGATCAAGTTCAGGCTCCATGTTAATTTATATGTAGAATGAAAACATCTTTCTCTTTTGATAAGCCTTTCCCACCCTTGTTAACATACTGTGCTCTTTAACTGCAAAGGGACAAAAGGTGAAGATGTATCATGTTTTTGAGCCAGTAGTAGAAGGGTGTTTTACTTGCATTCACAATTTCCCCACTTGCTTAAATTATTCTGATTCATACAGTAAATACAAAAGAAAAAAAAAGCCAAGGAGTTAAATTTAAAGAAAATAAAGCTAGTGACTTCAAATAGTAAAATTGAATTGTTTGTTTTTAAATTTGTCACATAACGGTCCCTTTTCCCCCAGTGCAGAAACTGTGAAAGAAGACGTTGCCAGATTCTACACATTTTGGCTGCCTTTCTTTCCAAGCAATTGCAAAGTTGTAAATGGGGGAAAGGGCAGTTCAGTTTGACCTGATATATTTAATAGGGTCCATGATGGTAACATCATTCTATTGTCTAAGCCTTGAATAAATGATAATCCATGTCCATGAATGAATGAATTCACTTTTTTGTTTGTTTGTTTTTGAGACAGAGTCTCATTCTGTTGCCTAGGCTGGAGTATAGTGGCACATTCTCAGCTCACTGCAACCTCCGCCTCGCGGAGGTTGAACATTCTCCTGCTTCAGCCTCCTGAGAAGCTGGGACTACAGGTGCGTGCCACCATGCCCAGCTAATTTTTTGCATTTTTAGTAGAGATGGGGTTTCAACATGTTAGCCAGGATGGTTTCGATCTCCTGACCTCGTGATCTGCCTGCCTCCATCTCCCAAAGTGTTGGAATTGCAGGCGTGAGCCACTGCGCCCGGCCTCACATTTGTTTTAATGGGGGTTGGCTTTGTTTTCTGGATGATGATTGATTCACTAATAATCAGAAGTAACTCAGCTAGGTCCGGAGAGAAATGTCTTTAATGCCCATTTTTAGCCCTACTATGGGAAGTAACTGCGAAGAAGTAATGTTTTTTCTGTTTTCTCTCTCTCTCTCTCTCTCTATATGTGTGTGTGTGTGTGTATATATATATCTCACATATGTATATTTGGTTTTTTACTTACTTTATTTATTAGACCTAGATAATGAGAATTAGATAAGACCCAAAGTTGTTAATATCTATGGAATATGCATCTGCTATATTGATTTTTTCATTAATGATTTATTGAATTGTATTCTTATATCTATATTTTATTATAAAACAATCATTTGCACACATCTAAGGTTAACATTTGCAAGAAACTGGAAAAAACGTTAAGATGTCATTTCATACACTATGGTCTGCAATAATGATTTTAGTTCAAATTTGTCCCCATATCTTTTGCCAACAAAAGCTGATTTATAAAGCATGTTCCCCAATCCAGAACCAGATAATACGGGAGATAATTACTATGCCTGGTTAGAGTTTAAGAACAATTTCCTGAGGCACCACTTGTAAAAGTGAAAGAACATACATTGGAATGAGTGCTAGTCAGCTGTATGCTAAAAGAAAAGTGAGAAATTGTTACACAGAGCCTGTTTTCCAATATCAGTTTAAGTAAGAATTACATTGTCCCTGACAATGCCATAGAACTTTTCATAGTGTGATTTTACTATACAGACACATTAACTCTTTTTAAGCTCTTTAGGCACATAGGAAAACCAAATTAATCATTGCACAATTGTATATCATTTATTTACCAACATAAGTGCTTTATCTAAAAGTAGGCGTTTTTAAGACGTAAAGCAGAATTTGAATTTCTTTTGGAAACCACATATTATATTTCAAATAAAAAAGAATAATTAGCTATATTAATACAATGTCTTATTTTATTATCTTATTATCTTATTAATGTGTTCTTATTTTAAAAGAACACTGAAAACTGCAAGATCATTGTTCAATGTTTTCGTTGAAAGAAACCCATTAAATTTTAGGACTGGGCGCAGTGGCTCACGCCTGTAATCCCAGCATTTTGGAAGGCCAAGTTGGGTAGATCACCTGAGGTCAGGAGTTCAAGACCAGCTTCGCCAATATGGTAAAACCCCGTCTCTACTAAAAATACAAAAATTAGCCAGGTATGGTGGCGGGTACCTGTAGTCCCAGATACACGGGAGGTTGAGGCAGGAGAATTGCTTGAATGCGGGAGATGGAGGTTGCAGTGAGAGGAGATTTTGCCACTGCACTCCAGCCTGGGAGACAGAGCAGGACTCCATCTCAAAAAAAAAAAAAAAAAAAAAAAAAAAAAAAAAA